TAAAATGTACCTTCATAGGGTACCAAATTAAACAACAGGGTCCTTTCAGTGCCCCTCAGAGTCCTCAGATCACCTGTAAAGCCTAATTTTATTTCATTGTCACAAAGACCCTGGTCACTGTCACCCCCAAAGTGCTCCCATAGCTAAGCAAACAAGTCAACAGTCATGCTTGTGCACTGCTCACCCTGTAGATGCGCAAAGGTGACCGCAGGGGCAGACAGATGTCAAACACAGAGTCTGGGTGCGCAACCAGCCGTACCCACATCATGTTTTCACTGGCGATCACGTCCAATCCTCCCGCCGAACATCATTAAGGATGCAAGTACCCTATGCAGAACTGCTTTAGTCATTACAGCAGAGCAAAAGAAGTCTGACTTGATGTCAGCCCTGTCCAGGGATCAAAGTGTATCAAAGTCTCAACAAACCCTACTGTCTTCTAGATGACCTCATCATCAAACCAGTGTGCTTAATCCAGCCCTCGGCAGTTTCCTGTCTGGTTTTCTTTGCTCCTGCCCACACATAGCCCTTACTGGTCTCCTCAATCAGGTCTGTTCTCCAACCCCTCTCTTTCAATTACTAAGAAAGGACGGATTCTCACTGCATTGGGGGTCGATATCTTATGATCCACAAAGAGAAGAAAATAGCAAAATGTCACAGGGGATTGCTACGTGCGTCTCTCCAAAGAGTTCTGGCCTGACGCACAGAACCACTGATCTCTGCTCATTACTCACGACAGAGAACAGCCACACACCCCGCGCCGAGCAGTGCGTAGCTGCTTTCCCCGTGTGCCGGGCAGAGCAGGCCTCCTCCAGCTTCTGCCTTGTGGGACAGGGGCATCTAGTGGCGGAGCCCCAAAAGAGCAGGGTAAAGCCGCAGCAACACAAGGTGCAGCTCCGCTGCAACTGGGCATCTGTCGGTAGCTTAAGTGGGATGCAGCTGCTGCCGACATTGAGACAGATCATTACAAAGCTGTTAGGCTGTTAGCTGCTCTACCCAGGCTAATATGTCATAAAGCAAATTATAAACACATAAGTATCCGGCATGTTGGCTCAGACAAAATCCTCCAATTCCACCTTTCGTGTCTGATGCTCGGGTAGTATACTAGCAAACACGTGCAGCAACACCCCCTAACACAGTCTCGTAACTCCCAGAAGTCAGTGGCTCAGGCACCTCCCATGCACAAGGACAGGGGTGTCTTTTCACTTGACAGCCTGTCACAGCTTAACTATACAAATAATCTCCTTCACCTTTGAATGCTGCTCCAGTCATTTCAGTTGATGTCTGCTAGCTTTGAAAGCCAGTGTGTCACCTTCCCCCGTTCTCATCTGTGACACTGTTCAAGGCTTTAAAGCCCTCTTTAGATGTCTCTTTTCCAGCCTGAATAGTCCTAGACTAGCTAATTAGTCCTTGAACATAAGCCATTCCACACAGTTGATGAGGTTTTTTTTGGCCGGATTAGTTCTATACCTTGTGCTCCTCCTAGTTCTGCTATCCTGCTTGAGATGAGATCAAAACTAAATGGTATGTGAGATGCAGGTGAGCCACAGACATACATAAACAGCACCCTTAGTTTTGCGCTCTTTTCCCTTCCTAGTAACAGTTGACTTCCTTTTGCCTGCTAGTGAGCACTGAGCTGGTGTTTTCACAGGACCACCCACTACATCTCTGAGATTTGAATGGGAATCATTAGCTCAAAGCCCACCACTGTATATGTATATAGAGTCAGGATTGGGTTTTGTCAAATACTTAGCTTAACATCTGGCCACAATAAAGGCAGGCTGTGCCCCATATATACTCTCAATGTAATCACCTAGCTTAGTTCAGCTTCTGTGACCAATACTCAGACTTTGATCTCTTCATAGAAGCTGCTGAAAGAAAAACAATCAATGACATCTGCAATCATGCTTACCATGAATTGAAAAAAAGAATCCAATAAAACAAGATGCTTTTTCCCTCTTCTGGATATCCTTCTAAAATGAAAAATTTTACAGTTATAATGCCATGATACAATACTTGCTTTACCTTCCAAAAACAAGTCTACTTAGCTTCAGAATGTCACTACGATTTTCAATCTCTTACTATAGGCTTGAGTTTTTAGTTACATCAAGTACAGCAAGCCATGGTTCTAATATTAAAAAATAGCAAAGTTTCTAGAATTATCACTCATCTCTACATAACATTACAGCTGAAACAACATTCAATATTCAAAATTGTTACTGTAAAAAAGGAAAAGGACACCTTTGATCTTTCATATGTCTTAGGACACTTTGGACATCGATCCTAAATATGTAGTATCTTTACCATGCTGCTGATGAATAAATAATATATAAGAGTAATAAATACAGCTGGGAAGATTCGCACTTTTGTTCTGTACTGTCTGAAGCTTGAATACAAAGAAGCCAACACAAAAAAGGAACAAAACAAAGCAGGCATGGGGAGATAAATGCCGCAACTTGGATCATACCTCTTAACTGCCCACAGAATTTTGTATTGCAAAGTAGTTCTGTGAATGCATAGAGGCAATTTTTCGGCAGGCAAAACCTTCCCCACTGCCCAAGTGCTTTGCCTGCACAGTTTTTCAGGATGTTCTCACACACAGTGAGGATGACCATGCTCTGTGGAGCACCTCCACACACAGCCTCCCAAATCCCCTTTTCTCTCTGACAAGGCTACGAAGGACACCTTATCCTTGCTCACTGCACTCCCTCACGTATAGCATGCAGTCACAAAGGCAGAACAAGCAACCCTCACATTTATTTTTATGGGATTACCATGTCAAGCCCATCTGGTCCACAGCATGGAGGCCACTGTCTGAGGTTGATCCGACCCTGAGAGGAGGCTATGGATGCCAAAGCACCATTTTGGAAAGGCCCCTTGCAAGTCCACATGTACATTGCCCAGCTTGGGTACCTGCTGACTGAAGATTAGCAGTAAATGAGATTACAAAATTGCTGAATACCTACAGCCAGCGAAGGATGGTGACTCCAGGAGGAGGCATCCCCTCTCAGGTAGATGTTTTGGTAAATTCTCAGGCAGGACACCAGGTAGTCTGCAGGCAGCTGTAACATCTGGCAGAGATGGGATTCACATTCTCACTGGAATGAGGAGGGAGCAGCCACCCAGGCATCCTGAGTTCTTCTTCAGGGAGGACTGTGAAATATCAATTTTAGCCACGTAACTACAAGACCCCCAGACATGCTACCAGTCCAGTAGGGACCACCAACAGCCAGCGTCCTTATGCTGATAAAATCTGGTAAGGATTTGTCTTTTAGACAATGCTGTGGAGCAGAAAATATGACACACTGTCCTTTACTCACAAGTAGAAAGATTCTGGGACATCTTTGAAACCACTGATTGTGAATCACTTCAGAAACAGATTTTTCTAGGGCTAACTGTGATGGGGCTGCCAGGAAGGCTGCTGGAGCCTGTATTCTCACTGTTTTCTCCATCCACTCTGATAGCTACTTCCACATAAAATTTGTCTCTAGATGTGTTCTAAACAGATCCACTTTAATCACTTTTTTTTTTTCCCAGTGATTCCAGCATCACCTTTTTCAGACAAAGTAAACAAACAGACTCAAATACAGCACGCGAGGACAACTTATCCCAATGAATGCTATCCTGTAGCCAAAGGTACACTGTATGTACATGGCTGCCTGCACAAGGGCACACCACCACAGGAGACTGCAGGGAGATCCCTGACACCAGAGCAGCACAACTGTGTGGCATTTGGGATGAAAAGCACTGCTCAGGTCTGTAAGTCATAGCAACCTACCCTACGTTCACGAGGAAGACGTGGCTCAACCAGCACAGGTGAGACGCAGCAGCTCATCAGAGGACAGCAAGGAAGAGCCCAAATCCTTCATCCAGGCCCAGCCCCAACCCGAGTGAGGAACTACTGCTGCTGGTGGGGAGCATGACTCACCACGTGCTCCTTGCACTGACCCTCTGCCACCACCTGGACACCACGTGCATGGGCCCACCAGCCCCACAGAGCCAACCATGTGGTGCCCACCCCCACAAGACCTCAAAATCTCCAGGGCCAGATGCAAGGGGCCCCAAATCCCACAGAGCCTTCAAGTCCCATAGGGCCAGCTGAACCAAACTGCACAGGGCTTCTAAACCCTACAGGGTGAGCCATGTGGGACACCTAAACCCCACAGGGCGAGCCACGTAGGACCCCTAAACCCCACAGGGCTCCTGAAATCACACAGAGCCAGCTGTAAGGGGCCCTAAATCACACAGAGCCAGCCACATAGGACCCCTAAACCCCACAGGACCAGCTACATAGGACCCCCACATGTCACAGAGCCACCTGCAATAGGCTCTAAACCACACAGGGCTCCCTAAACCCCACAGGGCCAGCTGCAATGTGCCCTAAATCCCACAGGGCCAGCCACATAGGACCCATAAACCCCACAGGACCAACCACATAGGACCCATAAACCCCACAGGACCAACCACATAGGACCCATAAACCCCACAGGGCCAGCTGCAATGTGCCCTAAATCCCACAGGGCTCCCTAAACCCCACAGGGCCAGCCACATAGGACCCATAAACCCCACAGGGCCAGCTGCAATGTGCCCTAAATCCCACAGGGCTCCCTAAACCCCACAGGGCCAGCCACATAGGACCCATAAACCCCACAGCACCAGCTGCAAGGGACCTTAAACCCCACAGGGCTCCCTAAACCCCATATTACCAGCCACAATGGGCTCTAAACCCCACATGACCAGCCACAAATGGCCCCTAAACCCCACAGGGCTCTCTAGGCCCCACAGGGTCAGCTACCAGGGCTCTCTAAGCCCCACAGCGCCAGCCGCAATGAGCCCTAAACCCCACAGGATTCCCTGAACTCCCTCAGGTCAACAACTAAAAGCTCCCTAAACCCCCAAAAGCGCCTTTAGACCCCACAGAGGCCCCATGACCGCGCGCTGCCGCCTCACGCGGCGCCTCGGCGGGACTGACACCGGCGGCGGGTCCCTTCCGGGGCGGGGCGGGGCGGGGGCGGAGCGGAGCGGCGGCACCACCACCACCGGCACCACCACCACCACCATGATGGCGCAGCGGGCGCTGCCTAATCCTTACGCGGACTACGACAAGTCCTTGGCCACCGGCTACTTCGACGCCGCCGGGAGGGTGAGTGGGATCGCGGTGAGGCGGCCGGGGCGGCAGCGGGCCCTGCCCGGGGGCGGCTGCAGCGGCGCGAAGGGGCCCGCTCCCGGCCCGGCCGCGAGGCCAAGCGCGGCAACCAGGAGCCCAGCCTGGTCCTGAGGTACCCAGGGGGTTCTGACAGAGACCTGCCAGGTTAAAAACCATTCGGTTCGCTAGCTGTGCACCCTCCAAGTACCCCCAGCTTACTAAAACCCCACCCGCCTGTCAGTGCTTCCTTAATGTTTGGTGGCTTTGTGTTGTGTGGTTTGGTTTTTTTTTTGTTTTTTTTTTTTTTTTTCCTTCCCTTCTCCACAGCTGACTCCTGAATTCACCCAGCGGCTGAATAACAAAATCAGGGAGTTGCTCCAGCAGATGGAGAGGGGCCTCAAGTCTGCCGACCCGGAGGACTGCACCACATACACCGGCTGGGCAGGTAAGGTGGCCGGTTGGATCAGAGCGGATGGAGCAGGAGCTCTCTGGAGTGGACTTCTGGGTCAGGCCGTGGCAGACCGTGGGGATTTTGTTGGCAGTTTGCATGATCCACAGTAGATCCCTGTCAAGAACAGCGCTCCTGTGTGTTTTAATTCATTAAAACAAGGGGCTGTCTTTCTTGGGACTCCCTGTTTTTTGGAGCAGGTTTCGAGGTGTAGAGGGAAGCTGCCCAGCATTGCAGGGCAGGATTGGGTCTTCTCTTGGTTAATAGTGCCAAACATAGGCAACAGGGAAAGCCACCACCTGCTTGAGAGCAAACATGGGAGCCTTCGAAGGGACTGGCTCCAAATCTGGCTGTGGTGGGGATGGTGATAAGTAAACCAGTACTCTGTGACACAGGCGGATGCACGCGGTAGGTATTTACCTGCAGGGAGTCCTTGCATATGGCAGCAGTGAGCTTATGGCCTGAGATAATATCCGTCTTTTCTGTTTGGGCTGAATTTTATCTTACGGCATTGTCTGATTGGCAGGTTGCTCCATTCCTGTTCCCCAGGTAGTGCCCCTCCACTTAGCCAGGGCTAGTTCTGCTCCAGTACCTGCTAGAAGGAGCAGAAATGCAAATGTGAGTATAACAAAGGATGGAAGCCTTCCTCACCCTAACTCTTGCTTGCCAAGCTTCCAGGAGCTTGTCTTTTTCCTGTTCTGCATTTTCAACCTGGTTTTTCTTTCTTGGGAGCATGCTCTACCTTCCCCTCCCTACTCTTACCCACTGGAGCCAGGGAGGACACACCTTTCTCTGCCACCTCATCCTTGGTTACAGCTGTGTGCTTTGTCAGCTTTCCTGCCTTCTGCATTGTACCAGGCTCTAAGGAGGGACCCTGGGGTAGTTGCAATTAATCTCATGCTTGCTGCAAGATTCTTGCAGCTTCTTTTTTTTTCTTTTTTTTTTTGGCAATACACTGCAATCCTAAATGGTAACTTTCTGCACTATAATCTGGGTGTGGCTGGCTTGTACTTGGATGTTACGGAATTTAATGCTAACAGTTTGCTTGGGATAATGGTGTTCATTGTGTTGGTGCTAAACTAACACTGCAGCCTAATGACAGCAATGCTAGAAATGCCTGCTTAAAAATTTTAGTATGGTAGACAGGCACTGAGAGTACTCCAGAGCAGTTCATAAGAAATGCTAGGATGCCAGTATTAAATTCCAGCGTGGGAGAACATTGATTTCATCAGTTGCTGCCTGGCAGCATGCTGCTGCTTTTGCTGCCTGTGAATTTATGCGTTTTTGTTCAGTGCTGGCTGATTTCACCTTGGGAGACAGGTACAGCCTTCCAATCTGTGTGACCCTGCTTTGAAGTCCCATCAGATGAAAAACACTCCATACGTAAAGATGGTCCTCAGTCATGAGGGTGATACTTGGTAGAGTCTACCTCTGGAGAGAATAATTCAGGAGGACAATTAGCTGATACTAGGAGTACTCTGAAAGTCAGCATGGAGAAGGTAACCACCTTTCCCCAGAGACCATATTCCCTTCCTTAGGACAGCCTTGAGGAGCTTCATGTTGGAACGTGACTACAGTTGTGAAACAGTGGTTGAGAGTTCTGGTAGGATTTCAGCTCGTTTTTATTTGGAAGGGAATTTCTCAAGAGGAATTCTTCTCTTCCTTACAGGGCTCATTCCTCATTGGGCTCACAACCTTCTCGCCTTGGCTGATAGGATTAGAAAAAAACCCATGGAGAGATTTCCTGCAGGTCACAGCCAGCAAAGTGAAGTTTGCAGATATTATTTGTCACCCTCCTTTCTTTTCTAATCCTAGCTATATTAATTTATTCAGTGCTGGTTTCCAGAGACAAAATTAATTGGGCCAAGAGAGCAGCTTTTTCCTGTAATTGCTTATGTAGGAAAGGCTTGTTGAGTATCTTCTCATGTAAATCATTGCCCAGCAGTCTGAAATCAACCCGCACTCTTGTGGCCGCTAATAAGAGAAATTTGAAATGTGGCTCTCAGCTCAAACTCTGCATGAAATGTAACATACTTGAGCGTATTACATTACACTCAGTGATATACAGCATATGCTGGCATTTTACTTTGGAGCCTGTTTCTTTCCCAACGCACTTGACAGAGCCCTGTTCCCCCAGCCTGCATTTGTGCCAGGGAAGCCACAGTTTCTTGGCACGTGAAGTCGGAGCAGAGAGAGGGAAGGACTTGTATTTTCAGCTCAGAGGCAGTGAAAACAAGCTTTGGGTCGAGATTATCCAGCGTACGGCTGAATGCCCTCAAAACAGGCTTGAATCGGCTTGTTACAGTTTCATTCAGTTCCCCATAGAGATCAGGGCCCCTTAGGCAATACCTGGTATGTGCCTGGGTATAGACCAGACTCGGCTGTTGTGTTCTGTTTTGTCTTTTAATCAGTTTAGCTAGACTGCTGTAAAAGCTTTTGCAGTCTTAATCTGTTTCACTGGTATCCGAGCGTTGTTGACGGCAAACTGCCGTAAGCTAATTCCGAATCGGCAGCAGTTCAAATCCTGGCAGACGTACAACTGCCTCATCCATTTTCAAATAGATTAGCATGAGGATGCCAAAGAGTATGTACATGTGTGTTGGTATTTCTCATAGTGCAAGAGGCCTGGCTCCAAAGACCACCTCGACTGGGAGCATAGATGATGGAAAGGGAGTGGGAGGAGACTGACTTCACTCCTGTCACCTCCTAGCTGACTGACTGCAGAAGCTAGGAAGCTCCCGAGTCCGGTGCCCACTGCACTGTTGTGTCCTTCCAAGATGATGAGGTGATCTGCAACCTGAAACGGTATAGAAGGGAGAGATTTCCCTTCCTCCACATTATGGAGGTGCCTTTGGAATTTGTTTCCCATGCAAGCATTCCCTTCTCTAGCAATGTCATTAGTCATGGCTTTGAGAGCTCCAGGGCCTCTGAAACAGAGGGGTGAGCCCAGCTGGCCTGCCCCACGCACAGTTTTTGGCTGGCCTGTTGGCGAGCGGAGACAGGGAGCAGAGCTGAGTTTCCTTTTGAAAGGACTCTTCAAAAGACACATCAGATGAAAGGAAAGCCACATCAGAATGGATAGAAATTCTGACCATACCAGTTCAGGAAAGCTTCTGGAAAAACACCTGTCATTCACTTTGGTACAGTATCTTAGGTTTAACCTCAGAACCCAGAGAACTTGCATCTCCTTAACAGAGAATTCTGTTCCGAAAAACAGAAATCCTCAGATAATCCCTACAGAATAAGAGGCAGCAAGGCTGCATGTGATGAGAAATTAGCGTGCCTTGTGTCATCCCCATAAGCCACATTCCTGCCAAATGCTTGGTGGGTAGTTTTTGTGTAATGTCTGTTCTTGGAGATAGTATTTGACTGGAGAAGGCTCAGAGCATGGGATGTAAATTTGAAGTTGGCCTTACTATCAGGGGGTTGAATCAGATCATCTCCACAGATCCATTCTAACCTAACCTGTTGTAGGATTCTGTGATTGGGTAATGGGTAGTTTTGGTTTGGGCTGGGCTGTTTATTTTTTGTTTGTTTGTTTGGGGTTGGTTTTTGTGGGTAAAGCTTCTTTTGTAAAAAGGTTTTGTTACCCAGGTTTTAAGGCTAGAGAAGCTGAGGCACCCCAAAAAATGCCCCACGTCCTTCATTGCACTAGGAAGGCAAGCTGCAAGCTGTAGTAAAATGTACTTGTGGCTCCCCAGACACCTCTGAAATTGGGATGATACAGCCCTCCAGAGAAGATGTTTCACTGTCGCATTCAGCATGGCTTTGGAATGCATTTATGAGTGCAAGATAACATCCCATGTGTCTGCACTAGAAAAGATGCTTATTATCCTTTGAGCTGGGAAGTAAAGCTATGCCACCCCCTCTGTAACTTGAAACCATGCCTGACTTACTAAAATGACACCAGGTTTCTCACTAGAAACCGTTGGGCTTCATCACTCTGTGCAGAGGTAGGTTTCCACTTCCCTCTCTGACATCCTGCTTTGAGGGTGCTGGCAAGCTTACTTCCCTGTGTCAGCACAAGATCTCCAAGCATCATTATTACTGTAGATGGCAGCTTTGGAACTCCTCCAAATTAGGTCAAGAAATGTCCTCTTGTGGCAACCTCGTGCCCTTTGTGAAAGGACCACACTGCAGCTCAGCTCCTGGTGGACAAAGAGGCATGTTCAGAACAGTCTAATGGGCATCCCTGCTGGTGCTGTCAGCAAGGGGACTGCAGTGGGGCTGACACCAAGCAGTGCTTCCTTTCACTTTTATCCACTCCTATTCAGCCTGAAGGGGAAACTTTGTCTCACTCTGGCTGTTCTCTCACCAGCAGAACTGGTTGCAATGGTAGTGCAATCCAACGTAACAAGTCTAAACTTGCAGGGAAGTTGAGGCACAGCTTTACATCTCTTTGATCAACGGAACGATCATATGGATGAGAGATTCTTTCAGCCTGCCACAAGGATTTAGCTCTTGAACAAGAACTTTTCTGGCATCTCCAGCGATGGCTGCTTTGTTGAAAGCAATGGTTGCTAAAGTCAGGGCCATCAGCAGTAGCCAACTGGTGCAGCTGGTGCAAACAATTCCATTTCTACTATGTAAATTTAAGTCTTCTCCTCTGCCCTGCTGAAAAGAAACCTCTAATGCAAGGCACCTCTCTGCATCTACAGCACTGCTCATCCAGGAAGGCAAGAGGAGAGAGATGATGTTTACTGTCCTACTGAAGACGTTAAATAAACAGGCTTTGTGAGAGACACGCAGAATTGATTTTTGCCTCCTGATTCCCTGCAGTGAGCAAGCATCTCGGGCATTAACACGCCAGGGTATTGGCTTCCTGCACACTCGAGATGACGGTTTCAGTCATCAGAGCCCTGCTAACGGGTGTGCTGTCAGCAGCACACGTGTTCACTGCTGTCCTGCACCATCAAGTGAAGTTATGCATTCTCCATCATGTGTGGCTATGCAACAGGTCTTAGGCTGCAAGGAACAAAAAACTTTGAAGTGTGGAAAAACTACAGCGAAGAAGATCCCATAGTGGCCAATAAACAGAACAAAGCCTATACATCTTTGGCAGTAGCAGGCCACAGGCAGCCACTGTGTGGCAGTTCTGCTGGAAACAACCAGGAGTCTCAGAGGGCACAAAAATAGGGCACGTTTCCAACTGGGACACTGAACACAGACCTGCAGGGCACACAGAATAGGAGCAGATCCACTGCTTACCTAGACCCATTTGACTGATGATGCCATGTTTGCATAGTGCTTAAAGCACACCAAGCAAACACCCAGTCGGTCAGCAACCCCCCCCTCCCCCCGGTCAGTACTGTTGGAGAGGGAGCGAGGCAGAGCTGTGGAACAGCTTCTGCAGAGCAACGCTGTGTAGCTGAGCCAGGTTCCTCAGGTGGAAACACTCTTTTCTCCAAACTGCACTGCCTCTGAAATATGCTGCCTACATCTTGGCACAACGGTCGGTATAAGATGTACTCCAGCCAGGTGACTTCATTTTGTATCCCTCTACGTACATCTGCAAACATTTCTTCTTTGTGCATGGGCCTGCCCTCCTCTGCTGGCCTTCCCTACTTTTGGGCTTGCAGATAGCAGAGCAAGCGGTGGGCTGAAGGCAGCACTGCACTGTGCCCTTCTGATTGGCTTGGGAGTACAAATTCCTTGAGGAATGAGTTGAGAAGACTGGGTTTAGGTTCAGTTTGTAAGGCCTTCAGGTTTTAAAGAAAAAGGAAAAATGAGTGACTTGGGGAAGCAGCTCATCCCTTCCATCCTTTAGTATAGGTCAAGGATTTTTTTGGAGTCTTTTCCAAAGATGCTTGGGCCTGGGAGAAGGGGGGATGAGAAATGTTTTAAAAGAGAAGAGGCAAAGAAGTCAGAGGAAAATAATGCTGAGGCATTTTCTTTCCAAGAATTCAATTCTAGCAGTGGTCTTAGTATGGTAGTTACGTACATAATGAAGGTGGTATGATGGCAGTGGGAATAGAAGCTACTTACAAAGCAAAAAGTTATATATTAAAGCAGATAAGTCAAGAGTGCAAGTTGTGCTCAGACAGATATCGGGCCTATTAAAGTCTAGAAGCTGTGCTAGGTGCTAAATAAATGAAGGAGAGTCACTTGACATTTGCTAGCTGGAAGAGGAGGGTTTCCCTTTAAAGAGGGGCTTCATAGCCACATCCTTACAGACTTGAGTGATGGCACTGTACATCTGAGCTCTCTCTGGAAATACTAACATTGAACTGCTTAGGGAGAGGACAAGGTTATTAGCTTCAGCAGGAAATGGAAATTTTCCCTTAATATACATTTGGAATTGAACTGTCTGTAACACAAAGCTTTGGAGATTACCCATGCAAAATGAGAAAACAATCGAAATTTAAAATTGTCCTCAGTATCATGGAAAGTAATTTTGCAGCATGTTTGCCCCCCTTCACCTTGCCACATCAAAATATGCGGAACTTGGCTCTATTAATTTAGGTTTAAAGGCAGGACCTGATTCTTCTTAGAAATGGTTACTGGTAAGGGGAGGAGTAAGCTTTTCTCAAAGTGCTGTAGGCCAGTAGCTTTCTTCAGTGCATGTTTGAGGATGCCTTCCAGATCAGAAGGATGATTCAAATGTGGCAGACCTTTCAGACACAGACTTGCTGAGGACTCCTCAACTAAAAGCTTCAAGAGCTGGATGAAGACAGGGCAGTCAGAGGCAAAGGACAGCAATTGATGTGACTTCTCAGTAGCACAATTGTTTCTGTAGTTGGCCAGCCCACTGAAAACATCCAGGGAGGACCATGCAGCCTTTTCCAGTGTTCCAGGTAGATGTTGCTGTTCCAGACAAGGGCTGATCTCCTGAATGATGTGATGCTGCAGAGGAGAGTCAAGTAGCCCTTTTCTTTTCTAGGGTGCACTAGTCCTTGGTGTAGGGCTTGGGACCTGCTCAGCAGCAGGAGATGATGGCCAGGGAGCTGTAACAATGTTGCTGGTGCTTCCCAGTGGGAGGGAATTTAAAAAAAAAAAAAAAAAAATCAAGCCAAGTGGGATGTCCTAAGGGTGCTGCTTCTCAGTGCTGATGACATGTCATTTTTTAAAATATCCAATCCAAGCCAAGTGACTCAACCCTTTATCTCCTGGCATGGGAAAAAATAATTGAGATAAGGTAACAACTCAGCACTGCTCTGCCACAAATAGCATCTCACCCAAAGATGATTTTTTGTTTTTGTTTTTTTTTTTTTCCCTTCACAGGTTAGCGACAGTCCCAGGTACAGATGGTAGATTTAGGTGGGTTTGTCTAGGCCTTATCTTTTGCTCCTCGCTATTAAAATTGTATCTAAACCCGTGTATCAGAAGCTCTGCTGTCCTCCAGGACCTCCTGGGTCAGACACTGCTGTTTGTCTTGACCTGCAGTCCAGTCATGTGCAGCATCAGGTACAAGGAGGTCACAAAGCAGGAAGAGAAGGTGTGGATGCTGCAGCTATGGGTTCTGCCCCTGGATGTGCCCGACAAGCCTGTCTAGAAGCTTATGCCCTAGATAAAGCTGAGGGCCAGGCTTTTAGGTTCGTTGAAACAACCAAGGTGCATAGTGTGAAGGGTAAACTTTTCTGGTGCACACAACCTTTATGTTCCTTCTGCAGGCATTGCTTTGCTGTATTTGCATCTGTATGACGTGTATGGAGACCCATCCTACCTTCAGGTGGCCCACGAGTACGTGAAGAAGAGCCTGAGCTGTCTGACAAGACGATCCATCACTTTCTTGTGTGGAGATGCCGGGCCCCTGGCAGTGGCTGCTGTCATCTACCACAAACTGCAGAACCAGAAGCAGTCAGAAGAATGCATCACGCGGTAAAACGCTTGGTTATGTCTTTGACCTAATGTTCCTCTTGATTATAGAGCTGGTCTGGGCTTCTACCGGGCACTGTCCACCAAGCCTGAATAGATTGTGTTGAAGTCTTATCTGAGAGATAATCCAGTAATTTAGCAAGGCAGTGCAAACCTGTCCTGGCCTGGGGAAAGGGCTATCTTAAGGACAAACACACTTATCTGGCAGCTTTCAGGCTGGGTGAGGAGCAAGGATATTGTTCAGCTGGTATTTCCATCTTAAAAATAATTCCAATAAACGCAGGGAGAAAAAAAAGTGCCCAAATTATTAAAAAAAAAAAAAAAAGGGGCAAAAAACAAACAGAAGGTGAGGTTTGGTATATTTTCAGAACCCTCAAATTTAGCTTTACAGCCATTTTGATGAAAAGGAGAAATGTGGTAGGATTATTAGATTAATTTTGTCAGTCACTTCCGCTTGCTATTTATTAGTTGACTTTGACTTAAACCTAAGATTGGCAACATCCCTTTCAACTGCTGAATGCAGCTGATTATGATTCATTTCTTTCTATTTCCTGCCTTTCCTCAACTGTTTTCAAATTTATTTTTGTTGGGTACTTAAGACAAGAAAAGGACAAACAAGCAGTCCTGCAGTCAGATCAGCATGTAGCAGAGGAAGGAAAAAAAAGTTAAGGAGACACAGTTGCAAGCTTTTCTTGCTTAAGGGAGGTCAGTGGTGGGAAGGTGAGAAACAGCCTTGTAAAGAGTTTCCATTTACACATGGTCAGCACAAAAGCAAGACAAAACCCCTGACACTTCAGAGCAACACTGAGTGCCCTTAAACAGCTATGAGCCAGTGATGCAGGATATCAATTTAAAAATCCATGGGTGGGAATCAGAGATGCCTGTATGGTTTGGACACCAAGTTCCCACTCCCTTAACTAAGAATAGCTTCTGCTTCATGTGGGTACAGTCTGACAGAACTCTCTTCTTTATTCTTAAAATAATCTGTGGTTAAGGTTTTACTTAATACTGTATCAGTGGTGAATCTCACTATGATTAATATATTTGCTAACGAAAAGGGAACTAATCTGTCAAACAGTACCGACCAGTTATGGTCAATGCATAAGCACCAAGTTGTGAAAAATCCCTAATTCATGTTTTCTTGCTGCAGCTTTCCCCTCCCCATATCCCTCCTGTTCTGTCTGTAGTTTTGTGGCAGAATGGAAACTCGTTATTAATTCTACACTGCCATCTAATGGCATAATAAAGGCAGGGCCTTGGAAATTGTTTTTGTCATACATCTGAGAGGAATTAAAAAGAAAAAGTTGGCTTTCTCGAAGGAACAGTTACACTGTCCTTCCTCTGCCACCAATTCCCAGAGCAGTTATCCTGACCATGCTACCTCTAAAAAGAGAGTATTTCTTTGAGAAATAGCTCCCTTAATGGAAACTCTTAAGCGGGTTTTGAGTATGCTGTTTAGTTATAGAGCAATTGCTAAGTTATGCAGTGCAAGTGCATTTCTATTGCAGCTGTGGAGAAGGAGGGCCTTTCTCCATTTTGTTCTGTCTTTCAAAGCACCTTATCTTTACAGAGCCAAGGAGAGAATCCATCAACCAGGTTTTACCTGCAGTGGAAGAGACAGAAGCTTGCTTTTTCTTAGCTCCTTGCTCTTGCCTAAATGAGTTCATGACCAACAAATGTGATTTTATGCTCTGGAGCAACTAACATTTCAGGGCAGCCCGTTTTCCAAGAGCCTGTGAAAATCTGAGCCGTGTTCCAGGAGTCCTCTTTTCTCTGCCATCTCCCAACAATTCAGAAGGTCAAAGGTTTGCTTTTACAGTCAGTAGCATACAAAAATCCCATCTTGCTCTACAACTGTCTCACTCTCCCCTCTGTCCAAAAACTACTGGTTTTTGACAGTTGAGGTAATAGGCTGATATGCGAGCAGGAGTGACTCTTCCTTTCAGGGACCTCAGTTTACCCCCTCGCACCCAAGAAATGCATTCTATGTGCAATCAGTCCAGCAGCATCCCAGGCATCTCTTGCTGCACGCGTGCCCTGCCCCACATTTCAAAAACAACAGAAACTGCTGGCAGGCTTCCTCCCCTGATTATCCTGGCTGGGAAATCAGCTAGAGGTAGAAGCAGTAATGTATAAGGAGCAAGGATAGCAGCTCCAGCTGCTCCAGATTTCCCCACAGAAAGATTTTACATCCAGACCTCAGAAAATCCCTACTGTGAGTATTATTGTTTATCTACCCATCCATTCCTTCTTTTGCACTTGACATTCCCCTGACATCTCAGAGCTGAACATCACCAGCCAGCATCTCTTCTGGCCAGCCTGCTGCTAGGCAGAGTCCATCTGTCTAAACACTGGTTTCCTCCTTAGAAACCCTCCTTGTCATCTGCCTTCCTTGGACTTGGGGACAGGGGATGTGAGAGGGAGCAGGGCTTTCCTTTCAGCCCGTGGAGCTGAGAGACCCCTCCTTACTCCTAGTCTTGGGTGTAAAGTATGTCTCTTGGGTTTAATCTGTGAGAAATCTCCCCCATGGAGCAATGCACATCTTAAGTGGTACATGAGGAGACAGGGCCAGTTGACCTTGAGGCACTGCTTTCTCCTTCAGTATCCCTACTCACTTTGAGTCTGGTGCCAAGGAAAAGTTTCCTGCCATGGGGAGTCACAGCCCAGCATCCTCTCTCTGCTCTGAGGGTACTTTGGACATTTGGTTGCTTCTTTCCTTTGCAACACATTGTTCTTCCCAGGAGCAAAGGCTGCCAAGACACCTTTTCTGCTCCTGACACTGCTGTGACAGGGGGAAGCCCTGCACACACACAGCTCTCCTGGCTGGTTTCTTAGGCCTCTCCCCATTGCAGCCGCAGCAGGAGGCAGCTGAGGGAACAGTCCTGAAGCCACTTACGTTGGTATTTTTAAAGTGATGGCATTTTTCAGATGCCATCTCAGGGGTAAACAGAAAAATAAAGCCAAAACAGGTCACATCCCTGTGTGCTGCTCTGACAGGGAAGGACATCCAGCCTTGTTGGAAGTGTGATGAGAGGCAAAACAAAGGAAAAATTGCATCGAGAGGGTACTGGGCTACAAAGCACCAGTGTGAAGAGCTGTCAGTCTCTGTTAGCACCACAGAAATATCAGCAACTTTGCAACATGATGATAGAAAAATGGCAAAGAAAATATCTGACTCCAGCAGACCTCTTGCTCTGCACTTGTGGGCTAAAGCCTGCTGCCAGCCAAGCTGTCCTCAGTGCAGTGTTGGACCACAGACCAGCCCACAGCCCTCACACTACCCTGAGCTATCCTCACTACTGCTCAGCTCTCCCTAGAGATTTCTTACATGTGCCACAGAGGCTTGACGTTAGACGACATGTCCAGCTGCTTCTCCCCAACTCTTACCTAGATTTTTAGCTCATGGAAGCACCTATTTCCCACTGACGGTGTAGCCCTGGCCACTCGCAGGCATGGAGAGAAAGGGGCTTTTCTGTGAGGACTTCTGAGAATAAGGGGTGAGATTTTTCCACATACCATGAGCACCAGTTTGACTTTCTAACGTCTGTTGAGCAGCTAAATTAAACAGATACCAGTTTAGGTTTGAAAATAGTCATTTTTGGCAGAGGGTCTGCCTTGCCAGCAGCATCACAGGGAGGTAACGGTGGGCAGGCTTTGCTTGCTGAAGTACAGCAGCCTTTCCTGAGCAGCCAGCAACTCTATGCTGACCACTTCCTATCGCCCAGGTTTCCCCACAGCTAGCTTTCCCAGAACTGGTGTTCTCAAAAACAAGCATAGTACGACTTCATCGTAAAGAGCTGAGCAGACTAGAGCAATATGTCAAACAAAAAGCAGAGGGGAAGGAGGGATTTGGCACCTTGCATAGCTGGAAGGCCGAGACCTAGAGACTGGCCTGACACGTCTCAGGGCACAGGCAGCGTGAAGGAACAAACCATGGATTTGAGCTCCAGTCTCACTGCTTGGTTACATGGCTTTGAGTGTCCTCTAATCTCCCTTGTGAATTTTTTCTTTGTAGTTTGCTCCATCTGCACAAGCTTGACCCACGAGTGCCCGATGAACTGCTGTACGGACGCATGGGCTATCTCTATGCACTGATATTTGTGAACAGGCACTTCGGAGAAGAAAAAATCCCCCAGAGTCACATTCAGCAGGTACTGTGGCTTCTTCTGATTTGTTAGCTGTCTCTTCCCATGCAGCTTATCTTTGGGCACCTAAAAATCAATGCTAGATGTAGAGAACTGTGGTAACAAGGGAGAAAACATATCATGGCATTCCTGCTGCTCTTCTTCTGAAGTAATGAAGCACCACACGCCCCCTCCACCCCACCCCCCCCCCCACCCATCCATATAAATCCACAGGGAGTACTGAACGGGCATACATTTCACTCCCTCAACCACGCTCTTCCCTCTGCTTGGGCAGAAAAACAAGGCTTTTGTTCTGTGTCAGGATACTCACTGTGCTGTGTCCAAGACAACAGCATTTCCCTCACCCACATCTGTTCCCATCCGCAGGTCTGTGAAGCAGTTGTAGCCTCAGGAGAGAGCTTGGCCAAAAGGAGGAACTTTACGGCAAAGAGCCCACTGATGTATGAGTGGTACCAGGAGTACTATGTAGGGGCAGCCCATGGTTTGGCTGGGATTTACTACTATCTCATGCAGGTAGGAGGCACTGGAGGGGAGGGGCCTTCAACAGCTGTTTAACATTTCTTTGAACAAGGAGGAGGACCATTGGAATTGGCTCTCAGTGATACCAAGCTGGGCAAGATCCCTTGCCTGATGGACTAACCATGTTTGATCCTGCATCCCCACTTCTAAAGGTTTTCTTCAAGTCTTTGCCATTTTTCTATCATCATGTTACAAAGTTGGTGATATTTCTGTAGTGTTATCAGAGATTGAATTGTCCACCTCCATGGAGATCTGTAGAGAAATGTAACTTACATTATACCAGTAGTTTCACATAATGGAGGCCTGTAGGTCAGCTGGGTCTCAGCTTCCCTCTCTTGTGTTAATTGCTTATAAAGTATTCCTTTTTGTTGGTTTCTGTGGGCTTTCGGCATTTTTTGAAGCAATTACTGGGAGCAATATCAGATCATTACAGAGTGAGAATCTCTGTAAGAAAAGCATGGTGAAAGAGACTGTGTTCATAGTAGGAAAGTGGGGAATGCCTTTGTTTCCAAATCAGGGCCTACATCTAAATGTGAGAGAGGTGGGACTTTTTACTTGGATAAAGCAGCTGAGTTCTGTAGTGCCTGAAGTAGGCAGGGCAGGACAAGAGGTTGGGAGCTGCAGCGCCCCTTTGCTTTGATGTTGTCTTTCTCACAATTTCGCACAACTCACAGGAGCTCTGGGAATATTCCCTTCCCTGGCTCTGAAATGAGGGTGATAATTCCCCTATGTGGGTCACTTTGTACATAAATTTACAGTGCTTAAGCTCTTAGAAGAATAATAGCAATAAGTGACATTGCATTTTCAAAGCGTTAAGGGCACCCACTGAGCAACGCAAATTATTTTAACGTAGCAGTGTTCGTAGAAATCTTTTATTACGCCCAACTCTCACAGCAGGTGGGAAAAAAGCCACCAGGTTTCAAGTATTGGAGCTTTCCTTCAGGACTCTGTGGTTGGTGGTTTTTAAGCAGAAGGAGATTTGGCAAGAGAAGGATGCGAGGTGATTATTGCCCAGGAGTACAGAACAGCTAGCTGGGAGCAGGGGAGACAGCACTGTGCTGTGAGCCCAAATTTGGGGCTGAGTCCCTGAGCTTGTTGCCAGGCTGATGTTTTAAATAACTTCAAGTCTTCCGTAAAATACTTCATGGGCTTCATGCTTCTCTGCGGTATGAAGTACAAGGAGCCTGGTTCAGCCAAGCACGATGCACAAAAAGCCTTGGAAGCAAACAAGGGAAATATGGAGGGGAGAACATTGAACTTTTATCTCTAATACACCACAAGTATTGATTTTTAATTTTCAAGTTATCAACCTGGGAACAGTGTGATCCTTAGACAAGAGTGCTCATTGCAGTCTGCCATGAGAAATTAGAACTGCAGAGATTTCATGTGGGCCAGTGTCATTGTAAGAGGACACTCAAGCTTCCATCTGAGGTCAGCAGTGAAGTCACCCCCTTGTAATTACCCAGAAATATCTGTGAAAAAGCAGCATCACAGTCCACCACGTGGGCTGGCCCAGCAGCTCAGAGCTGAGGTGCTGCAGGTGTTAGGAATCATTCCTGGTATTCATCCTTAATATTGATTTTAGACAGTTTACTCCAACTCTAGGTACCTGAAATTATTCCTACTCATCTTCAGAAAAAGAAGCAGGCAGCCCTCTTGCTTAGAGGGTCAAGTGACGTGCAAGGGGCAGTCTGTGGTTCTGGGAATTCAAGGGTATGACTGGAAATAAGTCTCTGCCAAAGGGCAGAGCAGCCTGGGGCCGTGTGGGTATTTGTGATGTGCGAAAGCCTGGACCAAAGAAATTACTTCATTTACAAGGAGCAAGAGGGAGCGTGGTCATAGTTGGCTTTGTTTCCACCTTTGAGGCAGATCTTAGGCCTCTTAGGGACAGACAGAATGGTAATTCTCCCTGATCTAATGCTTTCTCTCTCTTAGCCTGGCCTTGGAGTGAGCCAAGTAAAACTGCACAACACAGTCAAACCCAGCGTGGACTACCTCTGCCAGCTCAAGTTCCCATCTGGCAATTACCCTCCATGCATCGATGACACCAGAGACCTACTCGTCCACTGGTGCCATGGGGCACCAGGTGTTATCTACATGCTTGTCCAGGCCTACAAGGTAAAGACCCTTTGGGGACTCCTAAATGTAGAACTTCATCATGGAGAAGACTCTGTTGAGACCCCCCTGCCTGAGGGTAGGATGGTTTGGTACAATGAAATCACCCCACGGGGACCACTGACCATACGGAAATTAATCTCCTAGAAAATTATTTCTGAAAATACCTGTCAGCTGTGTGGGGTATCCTGTTGCAGGTGAGAGATGGTGACAATCAGTTGTGTGCAAAATAATGGTCATACAGCCCCTTTCATCACATCAAAAACATCTTCCTTTAAACTAGACAGCAAAGTTCTAGCATTAAGATTTCAGTAGGACAGAAACTAATTAACCCAAACCTCCCAACTCACACAGGGATGCTCTCTGTGTGGAGGAAATCACCTCAGCAAGGGGGAATATTTCTTGTCTCTACAGGTCTTTGGGGAACAGCAGTACCTAAACGATGCCCTGCAGTGTGCAGAAGTGATCTGGCAGCACGGGTTACTGAAGAAGGGCTATGGGCTGTGCCACGGGACAGCTGGCAATGCTTACGGCTTCCTAGCGCTCTACAACCTCACTCAGAACATGAAATACCTGTACAGGGCCTGCAAGGTAAGAGCTTGTGTGAGGGAGGGAGAGGGGATTCAGTCACTTCGGACTTTTATGTCACCGCCTTTGCCTTTGCAACCCAATTTCTAGTGTGGCAGTGATGCAGCTACATCTGACCAGCTGCACCAGAATAGTCCTTCAGCAGCACAGTCACTGTCTGACAGCCTGTGCAGGAGGAATATCGTGCAGAAGCCTTGCTCTGCAAGGGATAATGTGTAGATGAGGGTGGTATTTTTTTTACGATCAATCTTTAACAAAATTTGAACATTTTTTGTTACTCTTTTCTGAGTTTGCAGAGTGGTGTTTAAGCTATGGCCAGCATGGGTGCCGGACCCCAGACACGCCCTTCTCTCTCTTTGAAGGTGAGCTCCATCTCTAGGCTTGTGTTTTGCTCCTGGATCCGAGCTGGTCCAGCACCAAGGAAAACTGAATACACGTTCCACTAAAGTCTTTGTAAAACTCAGTGTAGAGGATGGAAAGGAAATTAGATTCACTGTTTTCACCCTCTCCCAGAAGCAGTCTTCTTGTAGCACAGGCTAACGTCTTAGCTGGAGCATCTTGTCCTCTAGGGCCTCCCACACAGTTTCTGCATACAGGTCTCAAGGGTAATTCTTTAATGGGTACAGACCAAAGTCTACCTTGTGGTAATTTTTAGCCTGACTTCTCAGGCAACCTCTTTTCTGTGCATTTTCAAGGATTAAAGTCCTTCCTGGGCTTCCCAGTTCTATTGCAAAAGTGAGTGAGGAACAAATGGGTCTGCTTTTGTAGGCCTTGAGGCACTTTGTGGCTCCTCCTAACGACTCCCCCAAAATCTGCCATCAGCAGGCACCTGCTGAAAGAGCCAGTTCCTCAGCTCACATAAATCTCCCTAGCTTTGCTGCAAGCCGAGGAACAAGAGCAGTTACATCAGTGAGGACCTGAGGCAGCAAAGTCACAGGTATTTAGATTTTGTATTCACATTGTTAAACCTGTGGACAGATCAAGCAGAAGGGAGGGAGCTGGAGGAGCAAAGACCCATCGTGTTTTCCCAGGTGCTTTTAAACATTTGATTAACTTCACAATGCTTTCCCCACTGAATTACCTAAGTTTCTTGGGAAACCTGGTTCAGACCATGGAAATTATTTAGGTACTTCTGAAAACATTTTCCTTGCTTCTGTCTTCAGGATTCCTTCACCCCCTGGATAATTGATTAAACGGGTGCCCAAAGGGAATCTCTCTGAAGCACATTGTGTTTTCTCATCCTCAGGAATGGCTGGAACGATTTACTTTCTCGCTGACCTGCTGGTGCCAACCAAGGCCAGGTTCCCTGCATTTGAACTCTAAATCTGAGCTTGGCAGTTTCTTGCCTGAATCCTTCCACACTTGGAAGAGCAGTTCGAAGCTGCTTTCTCCTTCCAAACTCATCGTTGTTCACCTAACTGAACGTAAATCCATCCTCCTGAGGGCATGCTGGGTTCTCTAATATTTCTAGTCGCCTCATTGCATTGTTTCAGTTTAAAAGACAGAGTGCAGATTTTGCTGGTGTCTCTTAAAACCGCAGGGCTGCAGGTAGGGAGCAGGGAGAAAATGTACAGTATTTTGTTGGCTATAGAGTTTTGCTATTTTCCCTATCCCATTTCCTTGGAGAAAGTTTTCTATTGAATGTAACTTTGGCCATTTAATTCTTACCTTTTTTTTTTTTTTTTGTGCTGACAAATGGTTGCAGGAATTTAGTTGCCTTTGGAAAACAAAAGATGAAAAACTGAGACCTGCCCTGCAAGTTGCTTTTAAATGTTTTCTTTATGAGCACCCAGGCAGTAGCAGTTCAGTAGCTGAACATGAAGCAAATGTGACAGACTGTGGAGTCTTTATATATGTTTTTTTAACATGAGATTGCAAGTGGCACAGCTGGAACTGACATGCTAAAGCCTTGTCCTGAATTTCCACCTGTCTGCTTTAAAGGCAAAGGCTCTGTCTAGCTCTTTTGTGCATTTTTTCCAGTAACAGGCAAATAATCCACTAGCTTTTGTGCTTATTTGCCATCTTATGCTAAACCTTGCAAAAGGCCATCGATCATCTAATGGAAAACTCCAATCTAAAAGTGAGCTAAGCATGCTTGCTGGCGTGGTCTCTTCTGTTTAGCTTTGACAGTTTATTTTGTAGTCTTTATTTAAAAGTGTGTGTGAATATTATAGGTGTTAGGTGGTGCCAGGCCCACCAGCAGCAGCATGGGAAAAGAAATGTATTTCACTGAGTTCTGTCAGTGTTTAACCTATTACCTTTAGAGATGTTGTTTACATGCTTTGTTTTATAATCTTCCTGAACCTGGATAATTTGAGTCACTTGTTTGCCTTGTTACGTAGTTTGCTATGCAACCACACATTTACCCAACTGCAAAATCTGCCCTGGGTTAAATAGCTTTGACCTGTCAAGCAGGCCTGATGCTTGCAAGGGGTAAATCTGTTTTTCCACCCTTAGCTGATGCTACACTGATTTGCAGCAATTAGGGACCTGACCCTATAAACCACTTTCTTAGCACTGAGCATGAGCTAAACACTGAGTGCAGTGGCAGTTCCTGATGCAGCCGTGCCGCTTTGTGCTGTTTGAAGGCAGCTCCTCAGCCTGCACAAAAGTGGATGTGGGGTTTGATCTTTTTAGAGGCCCGGTTGCTGAGTGCCTCCGGCCACCGAAGAGCAGGTGAGCAGCTGCAGGGCAGTGCAGGCAGCCTCCAAGCCGGTGCTCTCCTGTACCAGCAGTAGTAAAGCAGGAGGACCAGACCTGGCACACTGACACAGCTCGCTCACGTGTGCCTGAACACAAGGCAGCCTAGCCCCAGCAGCAGAGGCAGACCCTCGAGAACCTCCTGGATGGGTTGCTCCAGCAAAAAAGTAGAAACCATTCCTGGAAGGCTGCCTGTTTCCTCAAAGCCCAGCCTCCTGCTGCCAACATATGTTCCTGGAATTTCATCAGAAGACAGCCTGAAGTGCAGAGAAGCTCATCTGCTTTGAGCTGGGCATCGCTGTCAGAAGCCCCAAGCTCATGCAGGCTCAGCAGTGGTCATCCTCTTCCATTCACAGGGCCTAAACAACACAGAGAGGTGACTGCAAAGGGACAAGCATAGCCCCGAGAGCGAGATTTGGCTAATCATACAGTTTGGGGGTGAGATCCTGCAGTACGTGAGGCCCTGCTGTAGGTTACCTCCCAGCTTGGCTGGTGCGATGGCAGCGTAGGGACACTGCTCAGAGCCTGGGTTCCTCCTGGGCGCTGATTCTGTAAAGGAGATGGTTCGTGCAGCCCGGTGTCACGGCAGCATCGCAGCCCAGGGTTCATACACTGATCAGGGGGTCGTCAGGGCCTGGTGTACAGCTGCTGAGTGAGTGCAGCACTGTTTAATAAAAATGCTGAAATGAACAGGCTTTGTGTTACTGTTACTCTTCTGCTTTGTGACCGGCATTCATGTCTGAGGAGATCAAGGTATGCCACAAGAGCCACTCTGGTGGCTCCTGGAGGCTCACTGGCCTCCTACCCACCCGGAGCGTTACAAGCGTTTCATGGTTTTCTCTGTCTCCAATCCATTGAGGCCAGCCCTGTGCTTTCCCTCGCAGGCTGGGCTTTTCTCCCAGCACATCGTTTTGCAGCACGATCTCTCTCCAAGGCTGTGTCCTCCCTGGTGTGGAGGTCCCATCTGACAGGCCGGAGCTGGGCAAGGTTGGGAATTAAGGTTGTGTCCCCCTCATGCGATACCACAGAAGCAGCTGTGGGAGAAGCAGCCATGCGAGGCACAAAGCTGCTGGTGAAGGGCTTCATTTGCATGAGTTAGCCAGCCAGACCTCGCTTCTCTCCAGCATCTGGTCTGACTTCCATCCCTCTGCACCACTATCGCACCTTTCCCCCTTCTCCTATTATTTTGTGCACATTTTTTCCACCAGTGTAATACCTGGGCCAAATTTGAGTAGGGTTTTCTAATGGTAACACCCAAGGGAATGTGGCTGGTCCCAGTGAGACCATGAGTCATGCTCCAGGCCAGCAGGGTCCCAGCACATACAGTTGATTCATTGCAAGAGATTTTATTTTTTAATTGTTTTTTTACATTGAGAAGAACACAGGCTCCTCACATCTTCCTGCCCAGAACAGCTGAGCACTTTGGCCAAAGCATCCCCTGCGTCTCCTTAGCTGCACCCAAGAAAAACCTGAAGTAAAGGCCAGTACCCAGACCAGGAAATCTAAACCCCAAGTGTTACAACTCACAATGTTATGAAGTGTCTGAAGACTAAATCCAACAGAGCAGGAGGCAGCAGATCTGCCCCAAACAAGCACCTGAGGCAATATGCTGGTGCTGAGCTGGGCTGGGCACTGGCAGGAGAGCTGGCTTGGGGACACCCCTTGCTGAAGCACGGGTGAGGTGGCCTCAGAAAGGGGCTGTGTGGTCCCAGCAGGTGGCAATGCAGCCTGACTGCAGCAGCTACCCTGCCGCTGCCCCCAGCTGCTCAACCCAACAGTTGTAGGATCCTGGGAAAGGCGCTCAAACCGAAAAGTCCACACTGATGAGGTTGTATTCATATACTGTGTGGGATGACAGAGGTGTGAGAAGTGTGGAAGCCCTTCAGGACTGCATGAACTTGAGTGAGTCATATACACCCTTGAAAAAAAATGAAAAAAAAAAAAAAGGCAAAACAAAGCAGCACAACTTTCCCAATCCTGCCTGAAGCTGCCCAAGCTCCTCCACAAGCCCCTGCAGCGGGGGAACAACTCCTCATGCTTTTCAGCCACATGGGCAGGTTTTCAAGGAAATGCTCCGTGTGTTGGGTGAAAACACTCTATGCCTCCCCACAGCAGTTTTACAGATGTTGCACAAGTTTTGCCACCAACTGCTCCCAACTCTCAGGAACTAGAGAGCCACAAACCCCCTCCACACAGGCTGCCCTTGGCTCTGTGATGTCTCCTGCACTGAACATGCCCCCCCTAGAGCCCCAAAGAGTCTGGGGACATCCCAAAAGGGCAAGAGCATCAAGAAAACCCAGCAGGGCACATGCAGGGTGCCAAGGCTCACCGCTGAGATAGCTTGATGTTAAGGGAACAAACCAAGCTGAGGTAGGGCTGAAATGGTTCCTGCAGATGGGCTTGCAGTGCTGCCTCTGTTGGGACATGGTCTGAAGCTAACAGGGCCAGAGCAGCCTTGGGAGTTTGCAGGGAATCCCTTGTTTCGACCACCATGGGGATGGAGGAGCACAAGACAGGGAACTGGGTGCCATGGAATGGGGGGGTTCAGGGCAGTGGGTTTTTTCAGGTTTTCAGGGGGATCCCTGAGCACAGTGGGTGTGCAATGTTAGCACCCAAACTCACTCTCAATGCAGCTCAGGCCAGCACAGACTCAAAACTCCAATTCAGTACCATAGCTGGTGTGGGTGGATACCGCAGCATCGTTACGGCTGGGCTTTTCAACTTGCCAAGCACGGACCTTGGCAAAAGGGGTAAGCGTGGATTTCCAAATGATAGCTGAAACTGAGAGGGTTGCTTCATTCACTGTTCTCCCTGAATCAATCATCAGAGCTTATACCTTCTGCTTACCTTTTTGGTTTTGTTTTTCCTCCTTACATTTGCTTTTCCTGGTGGCAGTAATTTTCTAGGAAAATTGTTTATGTGGGCTAGATCTGGAGCTGCATAAAGCCCGTGGAGTTAAGCTGATTTAGAGCAGTTTCGGACCCAGCTCTTCTACAACAGCTGAACGTAGGAGTCGGGGGGAGTTTGACTTTGAACAGTTGATCAAATTTCAGGCCTAGCTAATAAACCTGGTTTTGTGCCTGACCTTAACAGCAAGTCTTGGTATACTAATTAAAGGATCCCAGCAAGATCTGACAAGTAGTTCAGGTAGTTTTTTTGGGTGGGGTTTTCATTTTTTTTGGAGGGGTGGGAGTTGGTTTTGGTTTTTGCCTTTTTTTTTTTTTTCCTTTTGGAGAACACAAGCAAACTCTTCCATCATTCAGGATGTCCCTCATCGAACATCCACTTACCATGAGTTAGAAACAGATACACCACCACTCTCCCTTTAACACAAACATATTTACATCCTTCCTGTAACCCCTGTCTTTACCAAGGATTACAGAATATCACTTCATAGCAAATGAGCTTCAGAGATCTCCTTCCCAGCTCTGGAGCAAGGATCAGGGATGCTGCTGCCACAAAAGTGACATCGCTTGGGCGATCCTTGCAAGCCCAGGGAGCAGATGCGGGGCTCACTGTGCCAATGGCTGTGCTGGCACTGCTGTGAACGTGGCATTTGGTGTCCAGGGATGAGCATCACCCACCATTCTGGTACCACCTCATTGGCACAACTGACCTTTGAAAATAGAGGATGAGCGTGCAGAACTCTGCCTGCCTGGGCAGGTGCAACGCATGGCTGCTCTGAGACCTGAAGAGGACCATCACATCTTTGCATCCTGCAGGATTTTGGCTGTTTCGGAATCAAAACCAATCCCTCAAAAGCTGTTGGGGAAAAACAGAAAAAAACCAGCTCTCAATACAGCTGCTGATTTGAGACAGAGCCTGCTATTGCCTAACCCACAAAGCTTTGTATTCCCAAGTGTTGCTTGAGACAGCTTTCACCCTCAGCATGGTGATCCCTGCTGATTCCTCCTGCAGCAGAGCTGCCTGAAGACACTTCTGCTGTTTTGCCTCCCTCCCCACCTCACTCTTACCCACTTGTTTCTGTCTCCATGCTGCCCCTTTTGGGAAAGAAGAGTGGTGGCTTTTACTCTGGGTCATTTCATAAATCCAGTTTACAGGATCACAGCAAGGGGAAAGCAAAATACAATCTGAGGAAGGCAGAACCAGCTCAGCACAAGGAAACATGCGCCCTCCCTGCTGCTCATGGGGACAAAGTGTTTGATCAGAGCTCAGGACCACCCAAAAACAATCTCATCCCCAAAATTTGGGCAATCTAGCTGCCAGCAGAAAGGGGAGAAGAGGCTTAAGTTTTTTCCATGTAGCCCTCAACTCGAGAGGCACAAAAGCCGTTTGGTTTTGGCACCCTCTGTGCTGGACGGGACACCTCACAGCCACCCTCCACCCTCAGACAGTGTGCATCCCCCTCCGCTTCCCCCAGAAAGTGAAAGATGGCAAATTTGGCCAAAAAGTAAAATAGACCCTGTAATGAATGGCCACCCTTGAAGCCTGTGGATGACAGTACACTGCTCTACTTCCTCTGCAGCAAAGACAGCCAGTGATGGAGAAGGTGCAGAGGTGGTGCTAAAAACAACCTGAAAGCCTGAAGAAGGGAAAAAAGAGCGCAACTGTGGGGAGCCATTTAACTCCATCTCCTCATGGCTGGGGAATTTCTTGCTGGCAGGACACATGTCAGGCAGCCCTTGCAAAAAGCTCGTTTTGCGGCTGTCGCAGTTTGCTGCAGTCTTTGCAGTGATCTCAGGCAGTAATCGAATCCACTGGTAGTACTTTGCCATCCATAAATCCCATTGGAGCCGGGCCCATAAATAGTTACACTGTAGTATGCAGCTGCATAGAGGGCAGGAGCAAATGTTCCACATAACGGCTGTTGGCTCTAATCAGATTAATTGAGGAGTCGAACATATTTCCACCATTTAGCTGAGTTTTATTATAGCTACCCTTCCTTAAGGATACCCCTTACTGGTGAAGGGGAGACCGCAGTAGTGCCAAACAGCTTCCTTGCAGGGGAGACCCAAAGCACCCCTTAGTTGCAGGGGTTTCCCCTATTCCCAGAAGCTTTTTGGAGCTGTTTTGAAACACTTTGCTCTGTCACTGAGGTGCTCCTTGTCCAAACTGATGCTCCCAGTAGTGGATAGGAAGGGATCCATCAGATTTTTACAAGTGGCTGAAAAAATGAGAGAGGAGAGAGAGAGAGATCTCAGAAGACAAACTCTAAGAGACTGCGAGAGGGTCATCATAAAACACAAACTTTGGATGAGAACATATCCGACATCCAGGAACACCCTTGTCAGGAATTCGTAGCTCATTTATTGCAGTGGAAAAGAGGACAAACCCCAGCTGGGTGGCAGCTACGGCGGGTCACAGGCAGGTGAAAGCCACACCAAGATACAGCACAGCAGTTCCCAGAATGGGCTCACCACCCCACCGGGCTGCAGTGCTTAGTATTTACAAGCCTGACAAATTCATTCGCAAGAAGCTGGGCTCTGGACCAGAAGTGGGAAGTTGCCAGTGGAAGCATTTGGGAGCCCCGGTGGTTCATCACCACAGAGGATAAACTCCAAGTGGCTTATACCACCCATAGCTGAAAAATATCCCGCACCAGCAGGGCTGTCCCACCGCTCTACAAGCATACGAAGAAGACAGAGCCTGATGTAGGGATCCCAAATGACTACAAACGTGTCTGGGTTTCAGGGGCACACAGACCCTTTATAAAACAGGATAATCATCTT